GTACTTGTGACATCCGCCCGGAATTTAGGCAGCGTCCATTGTCGGAAGGACCTGGCAGCATGATGGTCATACCGACGCACACTGCGTTGAAGCTTGAATAGTGTTGCTGGTTTCAGTCAACATGTGAAAGTGCCGTGGAACATGGGAAGACAAGGGTGGTATCATCATAAACAACAGTTTCCTCGCAGTCAATCCTTCACACAGACCACAAATTGCCTGCAGACAATTGTTTTCTTGGGGTCCCTGCATCATCCTTGACGTCATTATCTTTGGCGTTGCCTATGGCCTGCAGGCAGCGACAAGCTGGCTACGTGCTCTTGATGGTAAGCACCAACTTGATTAGAAGATATTAGAACTTTCTTCTGGTAAGCCCATCTGCCTCGTACACCGTGACCACAGCCTGCAGTCTGACTCTTCACAGTCCGCAGATCATCTGCACACTTCGGCACCCCTCTGAAATCTACATACAGAGATGTTAGGGGCCCCGGAGATTGGATAGATTCTTCAGCATGCATGCCAACCTGCCGCTTGTGCTCGGATCCGACGCCCCAAAGGCCAATCCAGTGGATCCGCGTCCGCTCTCCTCCGAAACCTAAGGCGGGATCAGACAGCTTAAGATGCACTGCCTGAATCGACAGAGCAGTTGTCAGGGCCCGGGCTATGTGGGAAGTAGAGGCTCACATTTGTGACAGACCTTGACATCACAGGAAGCTCTACTGAGCCTAAATCTTAAGTCACCTCTCTCTTGGCTCGCTTGTTATTCTGGGAAGTATACTTATTATAGAAGTATCACTATTTTAGTATTATTACTTGTATTTTCATCGTTATTATTCGTATTATTCTTATTATTTCTATGTTACTCCTGTGTGCTTGAATTGGTTTCCGAACCCGCTAAGTGCAGGGCAGAAACTTGGCCGCGCGCAGCGGAAACTGAACCTTGGGTGCATTGGCGAGTCGCGGCTGGCCCCGCTTGCAAACATTTCCCTCGCTTGGCCTGACCTGCTGAGGCAGGCACAGCACCATGAAAGTCCTCCACTAGTTCGACTTCCTCGTAGCTGTCAAGAACAAGCTATCAGGAAACAACAGCCCCATCACCGTACATGCAGGACATGGTGGAGATACAACTCACTCTGCCTGCGTTGGCTCAACATCGCCCACAGACGTGAAGTCCAAGTCTTCGCGGTTGATGTATAGCCTTGGATGCATGCATACCAACGGATGGCGATTCGAGAGCGTCTTGAAGCAAAGAGTACACAAGAACGCAGCTTGGAAAATTCGTGCATTGGGGAAAAACCTTGCCGAGAATTCTATATAGCCCTACAAGGAGCTCTGGGCTTTGGAAGAAGAATCTGCAGGGCAGCGCACTTTGCAAAGCCAACAGTGGAGGGCCTAATTCAGGCCGGAAACTTGACGCGGCTTGGCGCCGACCCACCATCTCCACCGATCACGGATATGCTGGTGATCTGGCACAGCAGACAATTTGAAGCATGATCCATTGATTCCCAGCACCATCGGCAGCCAAGACTATCAAAGCAAGACACAACTGTTGAAGTTCATAATTAGTGCCACTGCCACTTGCCCTATGCGTCTCGAGTTGCGCAAATCCCTCTGCCCTTCAGCTTTGATGCAAATCCAACAAGCGCCGGAGACCCGATGTCTAATTTCGCAGGCAACGGGTGATGGCCAGTTTACGGCTCCACAACGGTCTTCGTAATGGTTTTGCGCGTCTTGTTTTCTACTCAGCATCTCACTTTGCCAGCAGCATGCGCCAATCTGGCAGCTTGCTGTGAGACAGGCTACAGGAGTTTGGTGCCTGTGGGGCAGAAACTAAAAGTTAGCTGACCGACAACAAGGCTGCAGATTCTGTACACAGACGCGACTTTCTCACTTGTCTGGGTGCTGCAGCATTCGCTACACCCCGTCACCTCCAGCCCTTTCTGTTAATGTAGTCTTTCGTCTTCTCCATAAGGTCCAAGGCTTGCAGCGGAACCTTGCGAAGAACCATCGCAACCACAAAAGGTAGTAGCCGATTCATGCGTAGAAGTGCCCAAAGAGCAAAGTCCACATGCCTGAAGGCTGAACGATGCAATTCCATCAACAAATGCCTAGGGTGTCATGACTACAAAAGCACAGTCTCTGGACACTTCTGATACGTTTCGATCACTTGTGACTTTGTCTCCATGCCACTCCATGCCTTTTCCATTGACCACAACCCAGCCTCAACATCTCGCGATAAACCAGCATTCTGGGCCTGCCGCTTTCGTTGGAGTCCAAGGTCACAGCCCAGCCGAAATCCCAGGCAGAGCACAAGTTGTCCAGCCAGCCGTCAACATAGTCCTGCATGGAGGGAGAAACAAACTACAAGGCGCAGCATGTCTTCAAGCAAAGGCAATGAACTCAAATGCCCTATTCCTCCACTTGCGCAATCAGGGCTTCATCCACATCACCAGTATGTGGATCGAATATCTTCGGGTAATCCAGAAGAAAGCGCCAAATGTACAGGACCCCATGCATGAAGAAAGCTGGAACCTTGTCACCTCTCTCGAATGCTTTCCATTTCTCTTCGCTCTCGCGGCTGCTAACAAAACGATTGCAATCCAAGGCTGATCTGACGACTCCGGCCAAATATCTGCTTTCTTTGGGTAAGCAGGCCACGGGGATGTCACACCCTCGGTGACCTGAAATTGACAGGTGCCCAAGCTTGCTGCTGCGCAGGGCACGCAGATCACGCAGGAGCTTTGGCAACTCCGCTGTCAGCTCCGGGATGGGTTCTGACATGCCTCTGACGCTGGGAAACACGAAGAGTCGAATCCATCCAGTGCTGTTGGTCTCCAGGCATGTTCTGATAGCTCTGCAGATGTGAAGCGTGATTGCAGGATGCTCACACTCACAGTTGCGAAAACTGATGCTCACGCACATAGACAATAGAGAAAACGCCTGGATCCATAGCTCCTGAATCTGCTCATCTGTGCCCTCCCTAGTAACCGTGTATCCGAGCAGAGTGAACTCAAATGGTTGAGCATCTGCGGGGATGGCACTCAATAATCGACCAATGATATCCAGCAGCTGCGTGAGAGATCCGTGAGGAGGCATGTATAGCCGGGCACGTAGGGCAGCAGTAACTAGAACACTGCCGGCATGATTGCTCAGAGCCTTGGCAAGTCCCTGTGATCCTCGGGACATGTCCCACAGCAAAGCTTGCTCAGGGGTTTGCAGTCTAACAATTTCGCAGCCAGGTTTGAGCTTGGTTCCATCCTCTGCACATAGCTCAGATGCCAGCTGGCACATGTCGTTGCCTCCCAGCGCTGCGATGAGCGTCTTGACTGGGACCAAAATGGTCTGGTTCTGCGCGGTAACCCCAGGCCCGAAGGTGTAATCCATGAATGCCACAGACTTCTGCTCACCTTCGCCAGCTTGCGCATGAGGAATTTCCAGCAGAGAAACCCCGAACATTGGAGCAAGCATATTGAAACATCTGAAATTGCCCCTGGCCTTCGCCAAGTCTAAAGGTGTCTTGCCATCCTTGTCCTTCAGCATTGAGATGTCAATGGCATATCGTCGGGCGTAGGCTACCAAATGCTCTAGAGACTCCCGGCTGTTGTTGTACGCTGCGGCATGGAAAGCCGTGTTTCCCCATTTATCTCCCACCAGATCTGGCTCCGCCAAGGTGAACCAAGGACATGATGCAGTCTTCATGGCAAACGACCCAAGCAGGAGTTGCACGCATTGATGGAAATTATTGCGCCCACTGCAGTGCAGTAGCAAATTCTTTGGAACTTTGAGCTTCGACACTGTGTGCCATAGTCTTGGCTCCTCTTGCTCTCCGCTCTCAAACTCCCTTAGCAGCGCTTCAGTGAAGATTGGATCTTGCATCGCGTCCCCAATGACTTCTGGCTCGTCGTCTTCGAGAAAGTCAAAGATTGTTGACTGGAGGAGGTCTCTGAAGTCAGTCGGGCGTGCATTCAGGAAGTAGTTTGTAACAATAAAGCTCTCCTTATGCAAGTTGGTTACCACTGCGTGTACCAAGTTGTGCTGAGCCAAAAGGTCTTCCACCTGGCGCAGCTGTGCAACGGGAACCCGCTTCTCCTTCAAAATTGGCAGAATCTCCTTACTGGATCCACAGATCTTTCCAACCACTGTTCAACCACTGCACACCTCAACGTACCAAGTTTACTTGTGGCATGCTTGAACATCAAGCCTGCAGAGCTTCAGACCAGCTGCAAGACAAGTCTCTTCTTTTCTGATCATCCTGTACCTTTGCTTCGGGCCGAACCGTCTCTCAAGTTCTATGGGCACATCAACAAGACTGCAACAGAAAAGTGGTACTCAGCTCTTATGCGGGTTCTCATAACCTCAGCTACAAAACGATTGCATTGATGTGTATGGGACAAGCAAGGCTGGTGGACACTGGCAACAAGTTGGTGACGGGGCACTTGATCCACCCAAACTGGAGTGCAGCGCCGCGGTCCGATGCTCATCTCCGCGTCTCCCTGGACTGCTGCGTTAGCCAGCGCTTGCCCTGCATGTTGGTGCGGCTCACCAAGTCTTGGTGGCTTGCAACCGCCCTTGCAGTCGCATGGCCGAAGAGGCTCAGAACAGGGTTTGACAAAGCCGTATTTATACTTGAAGCACCATCAGCCGGGGAAGCTGGAAGAAGGCCATGGCCGCCATAGGCGGAGGTCTCAGAAGCACCAGGCACCGGCCGCATTGTCTCAGCTCAGGCGGGTTGGTTTTGCAACCTGCAATCCAAGCCTCAGAAACGACAGCTCTCCTGTCTGCCCAATACTGCGGCACTGTGTGTGCGGGTTCCTTGCGGGAAGGGTTGGTAACCACAGAGACTCACTTAAAAGATGAATGGTTCTTTGAACAAAATGGGACCCGACGTGTCACCAGCTGGCAGATCCACATGGATGACATTTCCGAGTTTTGCCGGCCAACTTGTCTCAGCCGAGTGCACATGAATAGCTTGAAGCACGTTTGCAGCGCAGTGCTTTTTGGCCTCACGCTCGCCAGTCAGCTTCGCGCCTTCTCTTCTGCCACTGGTTCTGGCACCCAGCCCCGGACCTCGGGATGTTCTGATGCCAAGCTGGGTTGACGAACCTGTCTCAAGTCACGAGATGACAAAGACAAGTGCAGTCCCAGCTTTGCATCAAACGGAATCAAGCGTCAGCATGTCAACAAATGCCCCAACCATGCCAGGGAGCTCAGGATAAAACGGTTGGTGCCCTTTGCCCTTTCCTTCAGCAGGAGCAACAAAGTCTTAGTAGAAGTGCGCGTGTCTGTCTTAATCCTGTTGAATTGTCTGTCTCCATTTGACTAAGTATACAGTACCAAGCACAACATCTCCGAACGACAACTCAGGATCACTCAGGAGGAGGGCACTACACTGCAAGCCAAGTAAGGTACAATTAATCAAAATCCTGGCTCAGCCCTCGCTCTCACAGGACCAAAAGCATGGTAGCAACTGTAAACCCGTTTTGCTTATCTAGGGGTTGAACCTATTGGATGAACACAGGCTGCTGGGTTTACATAATCTGCCAGTGGTAGAGAGAGATGAGTGCTAGATCCACACATGGCTACACCTGCTTGAAGATTGCAGCACACTGCATCCCAAGTTCCACCTCTCTTTCCGGTGCCCTTCCCCTTGCCATTGGCCTGCAGAAATCACCATGCATGCGGAGATTCGTATCCTGCCACAACATGAGCGAACTAATGTAGACAGGGGGTTAAAGGTGGTTTAAAACACCTTTTGCCTCACTAGGGATTATAAGAAGGATCCTAACAGTAAGGCCCTTAAATAACGAGGGGGTTACTAATCACTGTAAACCCTAACCCTAAATAGTAGGTTCCATCTTATTTTCCATTATCCCACTACAACCCCAACATAAGGGTCTGCAAACTTGGCTCACAACTCCTGCCTCCCAACGGGGCCTCGCTTCCGGTGCCCCTGCTTCTGACTGCTCGTCCTTATGCCAAGCACACTTGTGTCCCAAAATGATCACCAGCGTGCATGTTGCCCAGGGTTCCCAAAATCAAGGTCCCATTTTGGTACCCCTAGAACATGAAGTGATCTGTAACCAAAAGGGGCCCATAATTTTGAGAACAACCCTTGTGAGCCCTATAAAAAAAGATAAGGCTCCGAACGGGTCGGTGGTCGGCCCTGCTTCCGGCCTCCCAAGCAAAGTGAGAGCATCGTCAGTGAAAAGCCCCTCAACGCGTCTACATGGCACTCCCAATCGCAGAGCCCCGAGGAACTCCAGAGACAAGCTACTAACTCAGCGCGCACATCGGTCACAGAACCACCTCTTTAAGGGCGATACGCTTCATAATGCGGCAGCACTCCGTCTCTTGAGATACATACTCATACCGTAATCGAGCTTCTGAGAGGCAGGGACTTGCCTCCCCAAACGTGGCGCCGCACGGCCGGCTCAGTTCCCCAGCCGTGGAATTTCACTGGCAGAGCCTGACGGCTACATTTGTTGGGGTTTACAGCAACCTCGACGCTTGGAATTCTGTCGAAAAAGACATCGATGATTCCAAGGTGTCACAAGGCTGGCGGAGAAGTAACACCAGACTTTGAGACGGAAGATATACTGGGTCAGCCCAAGCCCTTGACCGATTCACAACCACAGGCTTGCAAAACTTCGAGGAGCTCTCAAGCTCTGAAATCGGAACACTTACAGTAGCACCTGACAAGACCATTCATCATCAAGCCATGGCACATCCAGGTCCAGCTCCACGTTCAGTGGCGGAACCAGGGGCCTTGCAAGATTTTGTTCACCAATTCGATCTTTATGAGCCGGAACTCGCAAGCATGAGATTAGTGGCTGAGGTCGCCTTGGGTAGTCCTTGCCCAGCTGGAAGTCACTCCGCTGAACCTCCTCAGATTTGAACAGCTTGATTCCAAGGACGGACATTAAACTCGGACTCGCAAAACAGCAGAGTGCCCTTGACTTTCTGCTGTTCGCCTGTGGACTGACCTACTTAAGAGGCGGGAGAGTGTAGCCCAGAGCGTGCCTGCGCTGTGCAGTGTGAAGCAGACAAGTGACTAATTGGCTGCGTTCTCAAGCCCATGTCCACAGAGCGGCGGCATCAAAAAACAGAAAGTTTAACTCTTGCTATCCGCGCAAAGTCTAGGCAAAAGAAAGCACTGCGCTCCTCTAGACTTGGCTTAATCGTTGCATGATAGGAATTATGTGTATACATATATGGATGAATATAATCAACATTTTTCAACATACGGCATCTTTGAAAGCTCTGTCCTAAACTTTGCGGGCCAGGTGTCGCTCTTGCCAGGCTTCACTGTCCAAGCATGGCCAGGTAGCCAGAAATACTCGTAATCCCAGTTTGTGCGGTTTGCCGCGCAGAACCACAAGGGCGAGTCCTGGCTTTAGGTCTGCCACGACAATTCCATGCCATTCCTTTGAAAAACAGCAGGGTTACATCCCAAACCCAATCAAAGGGAGGACAGCTGCAAAATGCATTGCCAACAATGCAAACTGGAACTCAGCGCGCCGTCGAGAGTAGATGAGTCATGGTCATCAGATTTTGCCGATGCTCCAAGCTGCTTATTGTGGACGTTCATTTACGTGAGTTCGACTACTAGCTTTATGGTATGTCCAGTGCCAGTGTCACGCAGTGCTCCGCACTCGCTGTAAGACTTCAAGGCAAACTGTCTTTTCCTCATCTGCCCTTGCCACAGGCTCCAGGACTCCTTGTATGGCTTGATGGAGATGCGACGATCTGGGACCGTGTCGAGGAGCCAGGGCTCACGTGCCAAGTCCTGCACCAAGCCATAGTGAGCATTTGGTGGAAGGCTGCTAGCAGATCCAAATTATTCTCCCCTGCACAAAGCCTTTTAATCTTTATAGGTTTTATGTGATCTCAACGGACCACCCAGATACTACCTGCAAATGAAAAATGCTCCAGCTTCGTGACAGCTGTAGTCCAAAACCAAATTGAATTAGTGTATCTCGGGCCCTGCCTTGGAGAGCCCAGAGAGCTCCTCAGTCAGACTGAGCAGGCTGGCGCGTGACTTCCGATTTCCTCTACTCAACATCATCAGCCTGTGCATATGGCGACCAGAAAACAGAAGCTGCACAGACTACCTGAACATGTTCAATTTTCAGACGGAAATAGGTAATTCTCTAAATTCTGGGCCCCTCTGGGTTGTGAATTATATTATGGCACCTAACATTTAGGGGTACTGTACCAAAATGGGACCCGAATTTTGGGAAGTACCCAAACGGCTGTGACATCCAGGAGTCTGGGCACCAGCGCAGCGTGTGATCCAAGCGAGCGTCATGGACTGCGGGCCAGGCGACCACCTGCAGAGATCCAGACTAATATGGGCATCTTATACTATAATATACTATAATATACTGTACCATATCATACTATACTATACCAGAAAATGGTAACTCGCAATAGTCCATGAGCTTAGATACTTAGATAGAAATGGCGCCGCGTAGCTGCAGCAGCACTCACGCCTCAACAGTCGTGACGTGCTCTTCCACTGGGTACCTTTGTCCAACTGGAGTTTCCCAATGGCAGTACATACTTACATCATGCAGATTGATGCAGGGTTGCTTGGCGCGGGTCTCCACCAGGCATGGCCGCTGCAGAATGCGATAGGCCCAGTTTCCCCAATTGGCATCAGGCGTATGGTCTAGCAGGCAAGACCTAAACAGAATAACGTCTGCTGCAAACAAGCCTACCAGCAGATTTCGAGGCTGTGTGTGTTGTTCAAAAAGCCAAGACAGGAGAAAAAGATGCTGTCCCCTGGTGCCAGACTCAAAGTGCTCTGCACCCATTCGCCAGTCCAGCCGCAAATCTCGCACCTCGAGCTACTACTGCATACTTTGTTGAAGTCCGGCCAATTACGCTCCTGTCAAGGTTTGACCACATCTTCAGAGCCATGGCGCCAGGAACGCTGCGCAGCATTGCCGGTGGAGGTGAGAGATGTAACCTGTGGCCTCAGTGACTTGCAAGTTGGCACTGGGAAGCTGGAGCATCCCGCAGCAAAAGTGCAAATCACTCAAACGAGTTCTTCAGCCACGTTGCTGCCAGCTCACGCATGCCGGCATCTACAAAAGGAAAACCTGGTGCGGGGAAGAGGTCATAAATTCATGCTGATATCTTACTCAGCTTGCAGAATAGGAGCCTGTGTTTCCTTCTCGCCACTTCTGGAAAAGCTCCATGTCATGACTCCATTCCAGGCCCTTCACGTGGAACGGCCCTGGCTCCATGCAGCATTCACACTGGCATGCTTCGTCTTCATATGTTACTACATGGTTGTTGTCGCAGCCTCCAATTTTGAAGAGCGATGTCCCCCAGGCGAGAGCAGAGAAGCGCAGGAAGTCGCGAAAGAGAAGCTCTGTGTGAAGGCGGGTTCCTGTGGAACCTGGAATTTGGCATCCCGGAAGGTTTTTGCCATGCGGGGTAATTCATAAGCCTGCGCCATGCAAGACTGCGCTAGCAGCCCCTTGCTACGCTGCCTCACCCATAAATGGCTTGTGCACAAGGTTAGGTGACTACTTGCTGCCCCTCATTGCATTGTCACAAGCCAGTTTTGGGTCTTGGGCCAACTCTCACTGACCAAGGCACCGATCTTTCCAATACCCTTGCCCGAGCTAGTCTTGCCGTGCTTGCGCTCGTACTCCCGCGCCTGGATGGGATCGTGCGGAAGGCCAAAATACTATAAGAAATGGTTGCTTGGAGCTTCAGTGGCAACGGTACCTATGCGACAACGTATATGCAAGCTGACAGAAGCTCTCCTTCCCCCACACCAGCAAACCCTGAAAGGGCTAGCTGCCGATGAAAGCAATTGGACTCGCGTATGGTAACGAACATAAACTTTACGGTCCAGAGTCGTGCTCATTTCTTGTTTTCCTGGCTCGTGATCCTGAACGCTTTATGGGGTGCCTTAATGTTTTTGTCGCTTCAATATTCTTGTGAAATTGAAGGCTCACATGTGCTTCTTGCACCCTGTAGGAGTCCGGGCACTAGCCCAGGTGTGGTTAATAGCAGATCAAATGACAGTTGCTGGCAGCCACAAAGCATTGCGTCAGATTCCGAGAGCTGGCATGCCTCAAAACGATCCCGTGCAATAAATCAGAGTCAGAGTGGCCTCTTTCACCACCATGCGGGCAGAGAGACAGCCAAAGGCGAGCCAAGGACTCAGGCGAGTTCCTGAGTTCACCTCAGATGGAGCCATGATGATGGAGCCATGAAGAGTGCTTTTTTTCAGCTTCCTGAAAAGCTTGCAGCCTGACTCTGGGGCGATGTCTCAGTCTCCCCTTGCATGTCCTTCAAGCATCTTCAAGTTCAGTGCCTGCCAATCCCTTCCTTGTTCCCGCCGAGGCCGGCGGACACAAAAATGAGGCTTACAGTCGTCCCTTGAAGTCTCCTAGTCACTAAGCCCTTGTCGGTTGAAGCCGCGTCACTGGATTGTCCTCGCCATGGGCGAAGGACTCTGTGGCTCCACGATAGCTTGCAAGCTGTCCAGAACTCAGTCAAGGCAAGCAAGTAATGTTCAACACGATGGTCATGGAAGCAGGCCCCCAAGCTTCTCCACGTGCTGTTGCCAGCGCATAAATGCTGAGTCCAAAGCTCGATGTAATTTCGCAGGTGCTCCAGGCCAGCTGTTTCTCCACCTTCAGCTTAATCAAATTCTTTTTGATCTGTTTGTTATGTTGACTTCATTGTTTTTTTCAAACCGGATCTTCAAAAGGCTGACACATTCAGCAACCATGCGATTAGTATTCCCACCGTGAGGCGGCCTACTTGGGGCCTACTTGGGGCCTACTTGCTGCCCGCCTTGCCACCGGAAGACTTGCCGCTCCTGCCACGGCAGGCCAAAATAGCTTTGATAAGACATTCGCACGAACGACAGTTCCCAGCAAATTGCACCACCCCCTTTGTCACCTCCAAAATCTAAAGCAGAGCAGTGCTGCCTCAGGAGGCAGCTGGCGCGGATCAGAGGCGAAAGCCTTTTGAGCCGGTCAAGGCGTGAACGTTTGCAAATCTTGGAGCAAAAGATTCCATGTAGTCATGCTAGCGATGAATTTATGCTATGGCCACCACGGCCGTCATGGCGTTTGGAAATGGTGCCTCTTCGATGCTGCTGCCCTGGTGGCCAGCTGGTGGGCTGCGAAGCGCTGGGATAGGTAACACCTCCCAAGCATGAAGAGATTCAAGCTACTAGTAGGTCCACCACTGCTCAGACTTGAGGATGGATCGCGGCACGCGGCACCTCCCGGATTGGCCGGCGCTTGGCTGCTCGCTGGAACTCACCCTTGTACATGGGCATCTCATTCCTCTCTTCACGTACATAAGCCATGGTAAGCCCCACTCATGGCTTGAATCTAACTTCACGTCCTGCTGCTCGCATCAAAGCCGAGGTCGTCGATGTGATGTACCTTCAGGTGAACTCACTCACAGATGGCTTTCTTGGCCAAGTGTTGAGTCTCCAACGGTGAGTGCTCCCCAGAAGGTGTGCAGCTCAGCTCCTTTTGCTGCCAGCACCCGCCGCACTGCATCCTTGCTGGGCTGAGTGCAAGATGGATCGGATCATTTTGCAGCAATGGATCCAAGGACAAAGTGGAATTCAGTTGTTGCTAGCTGGACAGGAATTGGGGCGGCCTCAGTCTGTAGTTCCTCATCACAGAACTCGCGGTGGGCGAAGACGGCCGAGACCGACATCTGTTCCTCGGGCAGGAGACTGGAGACGCATCATGCTTGGGAAAAGAATGTATGACGGAACATATGCCTGAAAAACTGACGCTGCCGTCTCTACAAATGGACCCACTGAACACTGAACACCAGCAAGTACCTTGTTTTTCCATTTGTGCCACACGGAGGTCAGTGCAACTCCCTGCTCAGCTGCCCTCCCATTGGCCTACCTGCTGATACCGGACACTGCGTTATTGCACACAAGACTCGCACAGCGCTGCGAAGAAGGCGCTTGGATCCTCGACAGCTTCGACAACCTCAACTGCGTGTCAGGGCACCTGTCGTGGTCCCATGTCGGGATGATCGATCCCAAAATGCCAAAACCGCATGTGGAACTGGAGGTCGCGTTTTGAAATTTCAGCACTTCGAAGTCAAGCAGAAGCTAGGAAAAATGGCATCGCCAGGAATTGGAGGGCAGGCACCGTTCTTGCCAATTGAATTTGATGGTGTTGCGTTCTTGCCAAAACGACACCAGGTGCTTGTCTGCTGCGGGCTGCTGTGAATGTGCTAAAGCCGCTGCTGGGAGCTCCCGGTAACCCTCTGTGCCAGGCAGCCAGGCGCTGTCCTCTTTCTTGAAGCCGCACAGACAGGTCCTCCAGAGTAAGCGAGATGTGCGAAAGAACCTCTTCACGTTTCGCCACACCGACCTGGACACTCTCGCGCCAGAACTCCGCACGCCTCTCTGAGCAGCGCGGCACCTTGCCCACACGGCTCCTGAGGTCTGCAAAGCTGCGTGTGCGATCCACTGCAGCATCCGGGCACCACATGCTATCGGCCCAATTGATTTGGAGTCCTACTGAAGTGGCAGGAGCAGATTCAGGGGTCCTGTAAGGAGCAGCGAGATTGCAGAGACGCCTGGTTGCAACTCCCCAGCACTGCAGCCAGGGCACTGTCCGCTTAGCAGAGGCAGCTCCACAAGGTGGACATGGAGGACCTGCCGTCAACAGAGACTCGGAGGCATTAAAAAAAACTTCCACTGCTGCTGGCATCTGCCTGGCGCATGACATTGACATCTAGACTCTGAGGCTTTGGCTGGATTGCGTTTGGCATGCGCATGCCAAAGTGGCTCGTGATCTAGAAGGCGAAGGTCTGACCATTTGTGCCAGACCTCTGCTAGGCAAAGCGAACGCTGGCCGCTAAGCAAAAGCATCATTCTTGATGAGTTTCCATCATCCTTCAAACAAGTCTCCACATTCACACCTTCGCCAGGTGTATGGCTGACTGGTTGCGGAGCGGTGGGTGCAGGAGCGTCTACTCCTCGGTCATGCAAGGAAATGAAACGCAGTTCAAGACTCTGACAGCGAATATTGGCGAATGGTGTCTGAGGCAAGGCTTGGCTCCTGCATCGCTCTTCGGCGAAGATCGTACCCAACGTCTGGGCGGCATGAGCTGTACAGAGGCTTGTGGATTTGGGAAACTGCTGCGTAGCACACGCTGCCAGCCAGGCATCCACGGACAGGATTTCTAGTTGTCAACTCCCATCAGCTAGTCCATTACATCAGTGGTAGAGCTGAAATGCCTCTATAGTTTGCGAGGCCTGGCGGCTCTGGTTGCAGATTCGATGCTTTAGCAATGCCTGACTGTCAGGTAGTACTCGAAAAACAGCTTCGCAGCTTCAGAGCTCTGCGTAGGGACTTGCGTCCCTAGGATCCGCAGGGCTGAAAATTGAGGATATCAGATCGTCTCAACAGGATGTACTCTGAAGTATCAGATCAATCCAAGGATGTGTTGAGGCGATTGAGACAAGGCCTCAGTCAGCTGTACAGAGTTGCTGCTTTGAGCCGAAATTCATGCGCGGGGAAGTTACGTCATTTCAGCCACAAGAGCCTAAACTCTCGCCCCCACCCAGCCCATCGTGCCTTAGCAGGGGAGATGAAGGGCACCTTGATGATCAGCTCCTGGGCAGTGCACCCATCAGCTTCTGCGAGGATTCATGGCATGCAAGCAGCTGTCTTGTGAGTGGAGAATGTTCAGACGCTTTGTTTGTAGGAGCCAACAGACAAAACAGGTATTCCGCTTGCAATTATTCTGCCTCATCCTCCTCTGGCGTTTGCACCATCCGCGTGTCGTCCAGCCGCTCATCATAGCTGCGGAAGACACTGCTGGCACTGCCCGGCACCTTGCCACTACCGACCGTCGATGCGCGTGGTCGTTCTGGGGCTGGTGTTTTCTTTGTTATCGGCTCATGCTTCCTTCTGTTCTGCATCTGGGCTCTGATCCTTTTATCCCTTCCGCTTGCGCGATGCGTCTGTTGGGCTGATGGTGGGCTTCCATTTGGAAGGATATAAGTTGAGTCCTGCTTGGCAGGCTCCGCGCCTCCGCGCTATGGCCAGCGACAATCAAAGCACCTTTTGCCAAATGATTGGACCTCATTGCCTTCTCTGATAAATTGAAACTTTGTTGTCAGGCATACTTCCTCACTGGCTCTTGTCATTGGCATGTTTAACCAGGAAATGCCTGGTCAGGGGCTATGCAGAGCTGGGGGCCTAGCTGACACCTTCGTGCACTGCAAGGTGTTTACTGTCTAAAGACATGGGAAACAACGTCAGCGTCTCTGGTATGGCCTCGCAGCCTTCAGGGGGCATGTTGACATGCACCCTCCCGATCTTGTGCGGGTTGCCATGGATTGCAGGGCTTCCGGCAGCGGACCATGATATTTAGACTGTGCAGAACGCCAGGACTGGAAGATCAGTGTCGAGACTTGTCAGACTCCGCCGCACCATGGTTGAAAAATGATGAAGGCATTGAATCCAATGCCTTCCCGAACCGAGGAATGTTGACAATGCAACATTAGCCCGAACAGTCAGCAATTTGTTGGATACATCTTTCAACCGTGTATATGCAGCTGTTTGCTAAAGCTAGCCACAATGTTTGCTGTTGCTCGTAAAAGATACTGCCTGGAACGGCCACGACGACCTTCCCGGAGTCTGTGATGCTGTTAGCTGAAATGACATCTAAACACGTGAGACCTGCAGCTCATCCACTGAACGATCTGGATGGTCCACATCCATTGACCTGAATCAAACCGACCAAACAGCGCGAGTCTCAGGTTCATGCGTTCGTGGGCTTTGAAGAGCCTCCCCACCCTTCCGCTGCGTATGGCAGGCGCGTTTGATCATTAACAGTCATGTCCGAGATGCACCATGGTCTCGATATGCGCAGCCCAGCACAGGCTGAACTCGGAGCGCGCATCCTGGAGCAGGGGATTTCCGAAGCCTCCACATCTGTCTTCTACTGTCTGCTCTCTGCCTAGAGCCCATGCACCTGATCGGTGCACACATCTAAGAACCGCACCGATCTCACAGATTCTGAATCTAGCGCCACTTGATGTGGGCGTGCCGGGCCATCCAAATCTCCAGCTTCCAGGTCTTTGAGCACCGCTTGCTCTGCTGATCCTGATGCTTTCTCTTCTCGTGCTTCCACACACTCCTCAGCAGCACATCACATTCTTCTGTATACTGCATAACAATATTCCACGATATGCTACGTCAGGTTATACACATGTGTAGATGGAGATCTGCTGTACAACGCATCAGCCGCAGCCCACACGGTGAGTATTTCTTGACGGATCTCTGGGTTTCTGACTCCCTCGTCGCCGCCATTACCCAGGATACCCAGTGACCTCCGGGTCCCTGAGAAGCTCCTGAAGAGAAAGTCGTCATTTCCTAAAAAGCTGTGTTCCCCTCTTGAGGTTCCCTGTTCTTGCGCTCCGAACATCTTGGGTATAGGGGTGGGGGATTCCCGCGGATCCGCGAAACGTGCTTACAGCTGACCATCACCACAAGCTACCTTTTGAACCGAGCATGTGCCTGTGTGAGCATACATAGAACATTGGTCCAACCCAACCCATTTCACGCTTATAATCCACAGCCTGGAGTCGAAATCCACATGTATGCAAATGCCCAGCCTCGTCAAGCCCTGGCGTGGGGACACGAAAAGCCCCTTGCGCTGCAGCAGAGTGGAGGCCTTTGTGGGACCTTGGATATAGGCAGTGCCAACAGTCAAGTGCGAGCTGATCCATACAACGAGCTGAAAACCAAAGGCTGACTCAACCCTCTACGCAAGCCTTATCAGCGTTCTCTGTTTGTGGCTGCATGCTTCTCACGTGAGGTCAAATTCCAAGTACAGCTCTTTGCACAAGCACCCTCAGCAAAAGAAAGCTGAACCAGGCGGCCATTCAATGAGACCGAGAGTTTATCCCGCTCTTTGGAGACCTCTGCCAGACGGTCCTTGCGCGAGAAGGAGGGTATCCCAGGCTCAGGACAGGAGGAACCACTTACAACTTTCAAGAAGGTCAATGTCTCTGGACATCCTTGCCAGAGCTTGACAGACCCTGAGCTAAGAGGTACTGTGAGTCAGGAGCACCCCTTTGCCAGGACGAATTTAAGGGAAGCTTCGACCGCGAAGGGACCTCTTTCCCTCGACTACAAGTCTAAGTCATTTGCGGTCTTGCAGCTCTTATGTTGATGCCATCCCCCAGAAGTCTGCATCTTCACAATTCTCATTCATCTCCCAACTCATCTAAATTCAATAAGAAACCACAAAAGGCCCCATCGCAACGACGCAGTATGGCCGCACCCCCACCTCTGCCACGCAGAGTGTGCCCTGCACATTTTTCAGAACCGCCTCTAGCTCAGCAACTTTGGCCTGGCGAAGCTATTGCAGGTTGCTTACTGGGGGTTTAGTAGGGAATGAGGGAATATACTCTACAGGGATTATTTAGGGATATATAGGGATTATACTGTGTTCCCTGTATAATCCTTGCTGAGCACTAGAAAGAATTGGGGTTTCGGCCAACTTCCTGAGCCCATCGCCCGCAACAAAGTGTCCCCAACATAAGCCTCTTTTGGTTGTTGCCAGGTGCCAACAAGTTCTGATTGCTCGTGGCTTCCCTTAAGATCTGTCTAGTTTGGGGTGGTACATAAGGTCCGAAATTGGGCGGCGGAAGCCTCCAGCTCCTCATTCCGTTGGTTGCTTTCTTCCGCGGCCATTTGAAGCTCCCGGGGATCGTACTCTTGCACCTGTGGACGCAGCTACCAGAACATCGGTAGGAAAGCAGAACAAAGAACTCGGCACAAGCAACAAAATCTTACTCTTCCGTTCTGAAGCCAGGTAACTGAGGAATGTTTCTCATGTGGGAAGACGGGGATTTACTCAGGGGATGTGGGTGTTCGACTAGACTCCAGGTGGGTCAGACGCCCCAGTCATGCTTCTCCCAATCCTGCGCCTCAGGCGTCTCTGCGTCGGAAAAGCGTACCTTGCGCATGGCCTTGCGTCAGCAGACTCCGACAGAGCTCATAGGAGTTCACAATGCATGCTGCGAGCTGAGCATTCTGTCTCGGGCTCTCTCTGGCTCACTGATGATGGCTAAGGCACTTCAGCTAGAAACCACTCAGTGTCATCACTGACCTTTTTCAAGCCCGGTGGCCCGCTTGGTCATGAGTATGCGGGAGGTGCTCCGCTTCTTTGGGGCCTTGGACGGAAGACTTGAGAAAAACCTTTATCTATCTTGTCCTCCTGGTTCAGCCAAGCATCCTCCGGGCTCTCGGATGCACTGGTCTGCGGACTTTGTGGACTTGTTGAGCCTCGACAGTCTTGAGGCTTGAATTGTGCAGAGAGAAAATGTCCAAACGGCGAAACATACAGGCAAGCAAACTCTAGTCATTTGTTAGTTAGGCTGCTGCCACTGTCAGTACACATGAAGACGTACGTGTACAACACTGGGCATGGCATCTTTTACCGACACAGCCCTCCCGTACCCATCGTGTTTCATGCGGCCTGCAGCTTTGCTCCGTACACGGCGGGTCATGTACACCGGATCAGAACCTCAAGGCTGAAAGTGTCAGATTGTTCATATTGCTTGAGCGCCCACACAACAGAGTTCGAGCTGAACTCATGCAGCACGGTGGCAGGATGACTGCACGCATATCATGTGTCAATCCGAGCTCGCGCCAAAATTCTTATTC